AATGGTGAAACGAAAATGGCTTTTTGTCAAAGAGTTTTATGGCCTTTTTAAAAAGAGATTGTGTTGGTTTAAATGTTGTTGCCAGCAGGAAGTGACCATGTGGTGATACAGTATGAAGTGTGACAAAATCATCGAGTGTAAAAACATTCAAGCAGCATTGATAGTCATGAAGGATCTTACCTGTTTATATATTATAAAACTGTTTATTTGTCATATTCTCAAAGTTTTAATCGCCGTTGACAAATTGATTTGGTATCCAGGTAAGCTTTGAATCAAGTATTTAATATTTGACACGTTTAAAGTGGAAACTAAACCAGATTTGGGGTTTAACTAATGGATCTGTGAGAATAAGAACAGAATTGTCTGAGATCCTGAGGGAACCAGGAAGTCATATCACAGCCCCACACAGACTCTCAGACATGTTTTCATGTAGGACTTGTCTCCCACAGCGACTAAATCTAAAGTGACACAGCTGTGATGTGTTCAGTCTGATGATATTTACATTCACCTCTAAGGTTTGTCTCAAAGGGAAATAGATCATCTCCTCGATCAGTCCTCCCCTTCCTGCTAAGAAAATCCTCTTTGAGCACCTCATGAATATTTTCACTTCATTGTTCCAGGTGGTCTTTCATCATATTTCCAATGTCACCTGATATAAGCAGGTCCAGGCTCCAGCTGTCGCCTCCTCCTCTTCTCTTTTCTTTTTTTTCTTTTACCTCATTCTTCATCTTAATCGTCTGTCATGATGTTCCACGAGGACTCCACCTGGTGACCTTTTGGTTTGACGTCTCCATTGTGCCTCAGCTAAATCACCTGCCATGTAGATTTTTAACCCAAACACTAGAAGAGTATTGGCTTACAAGGAGCAACAAAAGGGATATTTAACTCTTCTCTTTTGTCCAGATTGTATTGAAGTAGCTTTGATCACAGCTTTGCAGCTTGTTCTGTATTAAAGATCTGCACATCTACAACCAAAGGGGATCTAATAAAGGTTCAGGAGACCCAGACTCAGTGCTGTACGCTGTCAAGTGGGTCCAGAGGTAATTCACCTCCATCTGCAACCAGTTAAAGTATCTGAACATTAGCCGGTTAAACATAACTAAACAATCCTCATGATCTCTTCAAACACCGTCGGCTGTCTTTACCGCAGCAGTTCTTCAAATGTTCCATGAAAAACATTGTCAGTAAGAGCTCCTGATAGCTAACTAAACACAGGAGGTTGATACTTGAATCATTTCTAATCCTTTAACAACTGAACGCTCAGTTTAAATCTGTTTCTTAAGTTTGACTGACCTGCACATACTTTAAATGTAGCAGCTGATCGGTGGTGTTATGTCATTTATAAAGCTTCATATTTGTGTTTTTAGATCATTTTGAATTGTGGCGCCACGTGTATGGTGGATATTGGCCTCCAAGTGCGTGGCCTGGGTTCGAGTCCGACCTTTGGCTCCTTTCCAACAAGTCATTCCCCACTCTCTCTACTTGGGGCAAAAATCCCCAAAATAGATCTTTATGGAAAAAATGATTTGAATCTGAATTATTTAGCCGACGTTATTTATTAATACATCCAGCTGTGTGTGTAACTTACATGGCGCTTCAGCTCAGGGAGAAGCAAGGTGGAGATGAATGCTTTAATGTGTTCATATCTGTTGAAGAAGATCTCCTCTCTGCAGCTTTTTATATCTCATCATGAAGACAGTGTGAAGAGAAAGTCGGTTCATTTTGTTCCCTTCTGAAGTTTTAATATCTGCTCTTTATTTTTATTTTTAAGACTGAAATGCTCTCTAATAAAAAATGTTGATGAAATGATGGATGTGTTATACCCAATATCTATCGAACCAGCTTGTTTGTACGTCTCATCGTTCCCCAGAGCTGTCGGAGGACACTGGAGCTGATCTGGAGTCGGAGGATGAGCTCGGCGGTTCGCGCTCCTCTCTGGAGCGTCAGGGTCACCGTGGCAACACCACCGTGCACGTGTGCTGGCATCGCAACACCAGCGTGTCCATGGTGGACTTCAGTGTGGCTGTGGAGGTACCAGTCTGTGCTCAGTGTCTCTTGTTGTCTCTTACATCACATATCTGTTTTTTTCCTCTCTGTGGTTGTCATGTTGAGCTCTGTGTGTTGTCCTCTTTTCCACAGACAAAGGACCATTAACTCAACGTCCTTTGTCCTACTTTTCTCATGTCTGTCTTTGTCTCCTCCTCTCTTCACCTCTGCCTCTCTTACTCTTCTTCTTTCCTCTCTCCATCTTCCATTTGTCTTTTTGCACATTGTCCACCTCCTGTCTTTTCACGCTGACGTTACTAGCGGCCAGTAGTCCAGGGCCCATGTCTCTTCTCTCTCTGTGGTTTGCTGGTACAGAACAAACAGCCTGTCCTTTAGTGACACCTGCTGGAGTAGAGAGGTACTGCAAAAGCCACGACCGCTTCAAATGTACTGATCCATGTGGGGAAAGTTCCAGGAATATTAATAAATGGAGGGTAAAAGTTATTAAAAAAGAGAGAATATGTTTTCTGGATCAGACTTCTGGACATGTTTTCTTCCTGTTATATTTTAAGTGCACTTTATTTCTGGATTACTCTTACAGCCATGCAACTGTATGTGGATGTCTTTGTTTTGCATGTATTGTTTTTGTTCATGCTTTGTCTCCAAGTTCTCAAACTTTAATAGGATAAGTGACACACGTTTGGGTTTTATTCATCCTTGGCTTGTCTTTTTGTGTTTCCAGAACCAGCTGTCGGGTAACCTGCTGAGGAAGTTTAAGAACAGCAACGGCTGGCAGAAGCTCTGGGTTGTCTTCACTAACTTCAGCCTCTTCTTCTACAAGTCACACCAGGTAAGCTGCACTGATAACGGCATCATGTGAAGAAGTTATGAAGGGGTCTTAAAGTGTCTTCATACACTTTCAAGTTTAAATGTTTAGATTGCTGCAAAGGAGGCAGACTTTGGGTTCTTTAACAGGAAATGACCATAAAGGTGATACAGACCGTTTAACACCTTTGATTTCAAAACCAGATTTCTGAATTATTTCTCCCTTGAAGTGAAAGGTTTGGACAAAAATTGTAATCTGCATATTTATCGCGGTAAAGGAAAGAGGTGGATGATGCAGGTCGAGATAGAGATGTAACAGCAGAGATTTACATGATGGGCAAAGTGGTTGCAATATGTCAAATCTCTGATACTTCATTTTTTTTAACATAGGGAATATATAATTGTTCTTATGTGCAAATATGTGAAGTCAAATTGCTTCTTTAATTCTGTTCAATAGCATCATTTCCCCCCTTTTTATTTCTTTGTGTCACCTTCTCTCTGGATATGTAGTAGTAGTAATCATTTATTTCAGTCACAAGAAAAAACAAAAACATCTTGACTGAAAAGGTGTTGAAGCTTTATCTTATTACACCTCCCCTTATTACAAATCTTATTATTTAAGACACGACTAGTTTGGGTACAAAAACAAAAAACACATCAGAACAACATTTGTTCCAAGAATTTCTTTCAAACAAATGAAACAAACAAACAAAAAAAAACACACTCTCAAAAAATAATTAAACCGACCTTTTATATTTGTTAAGCACCATTTTTTTTTAAACAAAAATTTAAATCTGGAAAGTGAACTACACATTCTTAATTCCATGGCATAAGTATTCCACAAATGAACCCCTTTTATATGTATGTACACAGGAGTAGAATGATGGCCCCTCTCAGTAGTCTTAAAGAAAGCTCCAGAGAGGTCAGCAGATATGAAGACTTGAGTCTTGGTTGAACCTCCTGTCCTTCTTATTGGTCTTCTCACAGGATGACTATCCTCTGGCCAGCCTCCCTCTGCTCGGCTACTCTGTCACCGTCCCGTCTGAGTCCGAGAACATCCACAAAGACTACGTCTTCAAACTCCACTTCAAATCCCACGTCTACTACTTCAGATCAGAGAGCGAGTACACGTTTGAGAGGTATGTTTTTTATTCTTTTTTTAGAAATCTGACTCAGACAAACGTCTCTTTTGACCTGCTAACAGAGCTGGGTGAAGAACAACTTGTTCTGTTATACCAACAAGGTTACATGCTTTTCAAAAAGAATCCTCAGTAATTCAGTCTCTTCTTCAGGTGGATGGAGGTGATCCGCAGCGCCACCTGCTCCGCCAGCCGCTCGCTGCCCAGCAGCAGGAAAGACCTTTATTGATGAAGCTATCCTCCCTTAGAGAGACTGTGGACTTCAGGCTGCACAAACACCACAAAGAGACTCTTGTTTTAGAAACCCAATCATGATGCAACACAGCAGGCGCTAAATCCACTCCAATTAAAAGAGGTCGTCCCACTTCACCCCCCCCCCCTGTACGCACATTTTCTGCACCACTAGTGTCTGATGTCAGTCTACTTTTTTCCAGGCCAAACTGGCAACACAGAATCTTGCTGGAGATCTTCTTTTTTTTAAATTGTAATTATGATTTTTGCTGTTAAATGTTCACATGCACACACATGGATTTTCTCTTCTCCCTGGAAGCAAAGATGAACCTGACTGAAACACACAAACTGCTTCAGACACCAAAGCACCAGTTTGTGCTCGACGTCACATATTTCTACTTGGCAACGACGACGATGAGAGTGAAAATGTATATAAAATTGTTGAATAATGGTGTGCATGTGAACACACTCGTGGTTACAAGAGTATTATTTCTGTCTGAAAATGGAACTAGATGAATCAAACGTGTTGCCAGTTTGGACACAATTACGTAACATCCATCTTTTCCTTCTTGTAAGGCGACTTTTTGTACAGTTCTTTGATACACTGTGAAATGTTCTTTTTTTTCTGCTTCCTTCATTCATGTTGCTTTTTATCGTCAAAGGACAAAAAAATCTGCTTCATACGCCAACAGAGATTCACTGGTTTGTTTGCCAAATACCTTCCTCCTCTGTATCCTCGAGGTTCTCCTAGATTTTAAACTTCTTAATAAAGATGAGAAACAGTTGTGTTGATGAGAGAAATAAGACGACTCGGCGCTCTTTTGTTTTGATCTTTTTTAAGAGGTGAAGACAACAGAAATGTGAGAAACCATTCAGGAAAATGTTAATAAAAAGAAGTACAGTACTGGATTTGAGTGCAAAAATCTAAAGAATGTCACCGTCAGCTACACTTTGTCCACAGGGGGGCGCCATAGGTGACATAACCTGAAAGTTCCTCACAGCAGCTTTAAAGGACGTGTTCCTTCTTTTTATTAATGGAGTGAAAACAGTTAACAGCATAAAGAAACCCTGAGAACATATTTCTGTGTTTTAAAGTAAGTGGTCCAAGTCCTTTCTTTTGTTTCACATGTAAACGTTTCTTCACAGTAACACAAAGACCGATGTTATGGTTATTTCAGTTCTTAAGCGAGGTGCTGAAAGTAATCATGGCAAGAAGAAAATCCTCCTGGATTCTGAACAGCTGCACGTCAGGTCGGTAAATAAGGAAATAAATCAAGTTTAATAAAACAGTTGACATTAAGAAAACTCAACCTGCCTCTTGTTAATAAAGTAAACATGAGTGTTTTAAAGAGACAGTATGTTCTGAAGGAGCAGGATCCAGATACACACAGAGGGATTAGTGTTTAATAAATCTTCTTTCTGTTATTTCTGTTCTTGTGACTCTCTGGTCTCATACTCCAGCCCGTGGTCTCCATGTGTGTCATAGTTCCGTAGCAGGGCAGCGTGGGCCAGTCGGGCTGGTACGTGTTTGTGCTGTACACAAACGCCTCCGTGATGCTCCCTGCTGCCGGCTTCTCCTCCCCCATCCACTCCTCCACCTCCAGCTTCACCAGAGTCCGCTGGTACATGGCGGGGCAACTCTCAAAGTCGTCCAGGAAGTTCAGCATCTCGTCGTCCACTTTGTAGATCTCTCCTCGGACCCGGCTGCCCTGGCCGGGGAGGTCGAGTAAGAACGGGATGTTGTGTTTGGTGGCGATCACCAGCGGGTATTTCTGGACGGTGCAGGCCGAGGCGAGGAACTCCGCCTTACCGTTGGAGCTGTCGAACATGCGGTAGTTGTTGGGTTGACCCTTCTTCAGGGTGCCGTAGACGAAGACACGAGTCATGAGGATGCAGGAGGACAGACGCACCTTTAAAACAAAGACACAAGTGTCAGGGTCATGCTAAAGGAACATCCCTTTCTGTATTTACTAAATATCTTTCATTTATTGAATAAATTCATGCATAGGCTACATTATGGGATGTCTTAAAAGATGTCCCAGTTACTCTTTTCAGTACATTTCAGATGCAGAAACGTCTCTCTGACCTTACAGCCTGATCAGGTGGAAGCTCAACTACACAGTGTGGGGACAACACATGGAGTAACACTAACAATATGACAGATTCAATTAGTTTGTAATTGATTTGTAACATTTAAAAATCCATCCTACAAAATGTTACTCCAGTACATTTCAGAATAAAGCATATTCTGTTAATGCACCATAATAATGAATGCATCACTTCAGCCTAATGTTGCAGCCAGGATAGGTGGTATATAGAAAAGAATAGATGTTTATTTCCATTTGCACAGAACAGTACAGGTACATTGGAATTATTGTGCGTTTCTCCCTGAGTCAGCTTCTACAAAAAAGTTAAAATTATATATAGAATAGCATTATGAGAAAAAAAAGAGAAGAAAGGTACAAATGAAAAATGAAAAAATAATATTAAATAAGTTGTAGTAACAGCTAAGTGATTTAAAATAAACTGTACAGAAGTTATAAACTGTATTAAAGCAAAGATATAATACAAAAAATAACAAAGGGGAACACTGAACAATGAGATGAAACTATAAATATGTTTTCTTATTGCACCTGAGGTTATTGCACACATATTTTTCACATTATATAATTGCACTGTTTTTAGTTTTTCAGGTTAATGTTGCACACTTGTGTTGCACTGTGAGGTGTGGGGTGAAGTACTTCCTTCCCATCTTAGTGTCCTGTGCTACAAGTCTCACGGCAGCAGGGAAAAAGCATATATGTATATGTTTTACAAATGTATGCAACTACAATAACCTGTGTCAGGGTTATTTCCCTAAGGTACGTACTGTATGCATGCACACATAATAACTGCTGATAACATAGCATCTGCTGCAATAATCTTTGATTCAATCATTAATAAGACAGGCCAATAAAGTCCTCACTCCTGCTCGGGTGACAAATGAAATCGTACTTTGAAAATCCGGAACAACAGAGAACCCTGTTAAAGCTGCAGCCTACAGATGACCTGTTGTACAAGTCAAGTGAAAACGCAGAAACTGTCTCTGAAAACATACCTGCATGTGAGGAAGATGATGACTTTATTCAAAGTATCGGGGTCAGTTCGACGAAACGTGTCACTTGGAATTCACAAAAGAGGAAGTCATTCAAGCCAAAATCCGGGGCATGCACATGCGCAGTAGCAACTCAAAGATAGCAGAACGAGACATCCCTGACGCGAACAGAAGGGGGCGCCAAAGCTACGAGTTGTTGTTCATTTATTTACGTTTATCGTTTATTATGTTGCTTTCTTACTATCACTAATATTCAACCAAATTGCATCATATCATATCTTATTATATTTGTTTTAACCTTTTTTATGATTACTACGACTTTATTTATTATGATAATAAATCATGCTGGGCTTCAAGACTCATTATTCATTCTGCCACTCTCCTGGGATTGCAGATTGAAGTGTTTCATGTGAGAAGTTGTTGGGTTGAATTGAGATTATTACTCAGTTTTAGATTTAAAGTGCATCCATCTTTGCCTCAAAAGGCACTTCAAATATATTACAATTCTTATTTTTTGTAATATAATACTAATATATTCTTTATAATTATTTTCTAAAATGTAAATATGTAATTTTATTTTTTAAATAAATGTAGGTAATATTTAACCTTTTTAAAACAGAAGTATCAGTAATTTATTTGAATGAATCAAATTTGAACCTACAACTCAATATACCTGTAAAGATGCTGCTAAACAAGTGTAAAAACATGACAGAGAAAGTAGAGTCCTACAATGCATAATATAAGATAAGATAAGATAAGATAATCCTTTATTTATTCCACAATGGGGAAATTTACAGTGTTACAGCAACAAAGATTGCAAACAGAAAGTGAACACAGTACAATTTAAATAAAAAATAAAAAAATTAAGAATGTACAAAAAAATAGATAGATACTAAAAAATAGATTTTAAAAAAAGATAAATCAATCATCTTTTGTTGGACCTACTGTCAGCTTTTGTAGGAAATTAGAAGTATAAAAAGTATATTAGTTAAAGAAAATACACATTTTTTTTATGTATGCTTTATACACTTTTTTTGTTTTTCATTTTAAAAGTGTAACATGTTATTGCACAAAGTGGATTTGGTAAATATAATATAACATTAATATAACATTATTATTGCACAGAGTCAGAGTGAATTGTCCAGTTATGTGTGTGTATATACTCTGCCACTACACCATAATTTACCTTATTGGCACTATATTTTTTATATTTGTTATTTTTTATGATTTTTATTTATTTATTATAATTTATTATTTATTTATTTTTTTAGCTTCAATTTTTTAGTATCTATTTTTTGTACATTGTTCATTTTTCTTTTTATATTTAAGTTGTACTGTGTTCACTTTTGTTTGCAATCTTTGCTGCTGTAACAATGTAAATTTCCCCGTTGTGGGATAAATTATCTTATATCGCTATATTTATATTTGTTTAATTAATCAGTCACTGCAAAAATAATAACTGTATATATTCTGCCACTGCACCATAACTTCACTTATTTGGACTATCTTTTTTTTTAATTCATTTTATAAATCTATTTTTAGTATCTATCTATTTTTTTGTACATTCTTAATTTTTCTTTTTATATTTAAACTGTGCTGTGTTCACTTTTTGTTTGCTATCTTTGCTCTTTGCTGCTGTAACACTGTACATTTCCCCGTTGAGGGATAAATAAAGGATTATCTTATCTTATAATTGCCCACAAGGGGGCGCTCTCTCTCCAAGCGCTTGGCTAAATCTGGGACTGTTGACGCTGATTTGACGCTGGTTTGACGTTGGGGACGATGACGTCAGCACGTCTGCAGCCTAGCAGCAGAAGATACGGCGTAAACAAAACAGGCAGCTACAGAATCAGCTAACGCTAAGCAGCAAACGTGTTTTTGAGTGAAATACGCAGTTACGCTGCATTCGGCTACATTACAAACTATTTAAATCTAACACTACGCTCCGCTTTCAGCTGTAATATGGTAGAAGACTCGTTTACAAGATGCTGAGACTGATACTAAGGTCCCGTTATAGCTAGCTGCGTTAGCTTCAGGTAACCGGAGATAACGGGACGAACATTTGGTATTTCTGTAAATTGCGGATCTTTAGCACTACGTTTGTTTATACCGCATGGTAATGGTTACTTGTTTCATCAACACTTGTTGTGTTTTATGTTGGTAAAAGTTGATTAAGTTGCTGCTGTCGTAAGTTAGCCAGCGATGTGGCTAATTAAGAGGAAAAGTCGATCAGCTGTTTAAAGAGGAGGGGGGGCGATGACCTCTTGACCTCTTGACCTCAGTCTTCTGGACTCGGACTGAGATGTTCAGCCTGATGGCGAACTGCTGCAACTGGCTGAAACGATGGCGAGAGCCTGCGAGGTACACAATGACGTCATTCTGTTTAAATCAGGAGTTTGTAGTTTTTATAGTTTGTAGTTTGTAGTCCCTGCTGTAGTAGAGATTCTCCTGTTTTCTCTTATTTCCACTGGATGACAGCAGTTTGTCACCATCCTCTTTTCTCAAACAACTTTTACTAACAGCCATAACTGTTTGTTTGTTTGTTTGTTTGTTTATTTATTTATTCATTGCACTAAAATTGTTTATTTACTCATCCAGTCACTGCACAATAATAAGATAATCCTTTATTTATCCCTCAGTGGGGACATTTACAGTGTTACAGCAGCAAAGAGCAAAGACTGCAAACAGAAAGTGAACACAGTACAATTTAAATAAAAAAGAAAAATTAAGAATGTACAAAAAAATAAATAGATACTGAAAAATAGATTAAAAAAATAAAATGAATAAATAAAAAATAATAAAAAATAAATATAAAAATATAGTGCAAATAAGTGAAGTTATGGTGCAGTGGCAGAATATATACAGTTATAATTTTGCAGTGACTGATTAATTAAACAAATATAAATATAGAGATATAAGATAATCCTTTATTTATCCTTTATTTTAAATTTACAGTGTTACAGCAGCAAAGAGCAAACAAAAGTGAACACAGTACAATTTAAATATAAAAAGAAAAATTAAGAATGTACAAAAAAATAAATAGATACTGAAAAATAGATTAAAAAAATAAAAAATAATAAAAAATAAATATAAAAATATAGTGCAAATAAGTGAAGTTATGGTGCAGTGGCAGAATATATACAGTTATAATTTTGCAGTGACTGATTAATTAAACAAATATAAATATAGAGATATAAGATAATCCTTAATTTATCCCACAACGGGGAAATTTACAGTGTTACAGCAACAAAGAGCAAATAAAAGTGAACACAGTACAATTTAAATATAAAAAGAAAAATTAAGAATGTACAAAAATAGATTAAAAAAATAAAATGAATAAATAAATACTATATATATAGTGCAAATAAGTGAAGTTATGGTGACTGAAAGAATATATACAGTTATTATTTTGCAGTGACTGATTAATTAAACAAATATAAATATAGAAAGATATGATAATCCTGTACATTCTATTTTTTAGTATCTATTTTTTTGTACATTCTTAATTTTTCTTTTATATTTAAATTGTACTGTGTTCACTTTCTGTTTACAATCTTTGCTCTTTGCTGCTGTAACAATGTAAATTTCCCCGTTGAGGGATAAATAAAGGATTATCTTATATCTCTACATTTATATTTGTTTAATTAATCAGTCACTGCAAACTGATAACTGTATATTCTTTCAGTCACCACAACTGTCTATTTATTTATTATTATTATCATTCATTCACTGAACAGCAACTGCTCTGGCCACTTTTTACATATTTCTCTTTCATATCACCACAAATATATTTTTGTTGTTTTTGTAAACGCTGCTGTTTAGGATTGCTGCTAACAAAGTTTTGTGTCCTTGTATACAATGATAATAAAGATTCTATCTATCTATCTATCATAGCCAATGACAGGTTACACTGATCAAACATAGTTGATTCATAAACTTGTGTTGCTCTTTAGAAACTATTCAACCAGGGTAATGCAAAGAAGGCTCTTACAGCAAAGTTCAAATGATTCAAACTGCTTCAATCTCTCCTCTTCATGAGGTACATGTTTTTTTTAATATGAAATACTCCCTATTTGACCCAAGTTATTATTAGAACTTAAAACATTATTCAATAAATCTCTTCAGAGTTTTACAGAAAGATAACTTATTCAACATTCAATTTTAAATGGTTTCATATCATCTTTTGAGGAGGGTTTTTTCATCTGCTTAATTTTTTGTGAAATTATAATGGGCCTTCCCTTTTACTATGCTTTAAAGATTAACACTCATCACAAGTTCCCAAGGAGCCATAAGTGATGTCTTCAAATAACTTCTTTTCCTAAGAATATTTATTTTTCTGCAATACACAGCAAATATAGCAGAAACTACTCACATTTAAGGAGCTATAACCAACACATTTTTAACAGTTCTTGTTAAAAAAATAGTAAAAACCATTATCACAATAATCAGCTGTGTATTTAGCTTTGATTGACTGAGTTGTTAACCATTACAGCTCTATTTGTCATGCCCGTTTGCTACATTTATATAGCAAACAGCTCATTAACTGATCAAAGTAATTTAGGAAATGTTTTTTTATGAAGTGATACTGAAATGAAATGACTCGTCTTGGGGTGAAGACAATACAACATTCCTGATTGTCCAGAGCTTTTTAAGAGCATGCCTTAAACCTCCAGTCATTATTTCCAGTGTATTTAAAAAAAAGAAAAAGGGATTCTCCCTCGTTACAGAGTCGTTAAAACACTACAGGTGTAAAATAGTAGGACCAGAAAATGTTATAGGGAGGCCTTAAACCACGTGGTGCATGTGAGACATCTGGTCCTTTGGACTTAGTCAGAAATCCTCACCTAATCCCACAGCCAGGTCTGGTCAGTGGGTCTCTTTCTTTGGGCTTGATCTTGCTGTGTAAGGGGGTTAGTAACAGCGTGGACGGAGGGTTATGGGTTAGCGGACACAGGGCGAGCAGTTCTTCACTTCTTGGAGGGTTTACGTCAAGTGGCTGCCCCGATGAAGGCCAGCTGGCTCCAGATGACAGTTAGATGGATAGTGCGGTTGATGTCTTTTCGGCGCAAGTTTCTAAGTTAAGTCCTCATCCGTTAGACAACGATGGGTTGTGTTTAAG